GTGGAAGGTTCTTAAAGGACAAGATCGGACAAGCCAAGATCGACGCCTATAAGGGACAAGCCAAGAGCAACATGCCGCAGAGATCGGCCAGTACCCGCACTGGGCTGGAGGACCAAGAAGAGGGCGATCTAAGTCGGTACTTCAATTCAGCCATGAAGAAGTACGAGGCGGATCAACGTACAGCTCAGCGAATGAATCGACAGCCAAACCGCTACCCAGATCGACGTACTTTGCTCCAACCTTCACACGAAAGCCTTGACATGCCGGATGTGGAGATGGAGTCGGTGGGGTCGGACATTTACCAACATATCCATGAGGCGGCGGAATACGACCCGGATGATCTATGGATGCCCGAACCACGGCGCCCTCATGTAGCCGCGACCGGTGCGACTACCGGAGGGGGAAGCATCACGCAGAGGATCAGAATCTCAGCGATTTCTGAGCTGAAAGAATTCTCAGGGAAGGATCGGGAAGAAGACAAAGCACGGACCTGGATCGGCAAAGTGAAATCAGCGTTTATCCGGGACCAAGCACCGGACGAGGAGAGATGTCTGGTCTTCGGTGATCTCATGGTGGGCCCAGCCCGCTACTGGTACCGACAGCTGAGTAGATCGACGAGATTCAATTGGAAAGAATTGATGAACAGTTTTCTTGTGGAGTATGCGGGACACGGGATGTCCGCGAGCAGGCAATACTACCATGCAAAGAAACGATCGGAGGAAGATCCTTTACAGTACCTGTATCGGCTTAATGTGATGGGAATGCAGGCAAAGATACCGGTGATGACTGGATTGCCAGCTGCGCGCAAGGAACATGTCAATCATTTCATTGACACCTTGGACGACCCCGATCTGTCCAATCAATTGCTACTGCTAAATGTAGAAGACGCGGAGGCCATGCAAAAGACACTGCACGGATATCAACAAGGGAGATCGCGTCAAGGGAAAGTGATGATGGGATCGTCCAAATTCAGGCAGAAGGGAACTCAGGGTCCAGCGCTGTCTAAGCCTGCACGAGCGGTAAGGATGGTCCGTACCGAGGACGTCTGCAGCGAGTCAGGATCGGACACCTGCGGATCGGATTTGGAAGATCGATTGAGATCGATCCATGTGGCTGCTACTGCGGATCGCCGTTCATCCCCCAATGACGTTGCAGCAAACGCGAGATCGGTCGACCCGAACACTCGTCAAGACTATCAAGATCGCAATATGCCATTGAAGCCGTGTACTCATTGCGGATCGACCAAGCATGGAGATCTCGGTTGCTGGAAGCGGCTCACTTGCCAGAAGTGTGGGCGTAAAGGACACCCCTCTGACAATTGTTTTTTCGTGTGTCGTGCTTGCGGTGAGATGCACGACCCGGGGAAGTGTCCCATGGAGGAGTTCTACAACATGATCCGTCAGTGGTACGTCCCGAATAAGCATGCGGGGATGCTACCAGAGAAGGCCGAGAAGATGTTAAACTAGGACGCTCGCCAGGTTTGAATCTGGTACGAGCCGAGCGTTCTGGGCTCTGCATTATTGCATACGTGGAAAAAAAGAAGACAGATCGCGAGAGTAAGCAGGATATTGACGTGGAAACAAATATATCTCGTTCGAAGTTAAAACGTGTCGCTTCCGTGTCCCATCTGAAGCGGATCGATGAGTACTCACGATCTGAACCAGCTATGGAGATCGAGCTCGCTTATGGTGAATCTCGCGGATACTGGAAACATTATTCACCCGGGAAGTGGTTCAAACAAGCGAAAGCCGTTGGCAGGATCAACAACGTAAAAGCTACTCTGTTATTTGATTCTGGTGCTGAAGTGTCGATCATTGACACCACCTTTGCTCGTGAGGTCGGTTGCAATATTGACGAAAGTCAACGACAAGAATGTATCGGGATTGGAGAAACTCCGTACATGACGGTAGGACGTACCAAGATCAAGGTGACCCTCGCGGGATCGCTGGTATACTATTTCAATGTATGGGTAGGCGATCTGGCAGGGCAAGAAGCGATTCTGGGTATGGATTTTATGGTGCCTGCTGGAGTGCGGCTCGATCTAGCGGATGGCGCGCTATGTCTACCAGAAGAAATCCGCATTCATCTCGCAGGACGTCGCCCCGCGTACGGATCGAAGATACAACATATAACGGCGAAGGACCAACACGTGGTGATCCCGGTCGGAGAGTCAAGGGAAGTGAAGATTGATGAACTTTAGACTTCTTGGTCCGAGTGCAAAACGCAAAGTGAATATATATTTATAATAGGTACTTAGTTCGCAACTTTGAATACTACCTCTAAGCCTATTATTCGCAGTGACGTCATCCAGTGACGTCACCCACTGACGTCACCCACTGACGTCATCCAATGACGTCATCCAGTGACGTCATTTCCTGACTTCGCCCTTACTGGTACATACCGGTACCCACCGGTATAGCGAGGCTTGGTCTTCCACTTGCTTCAACACTTGACGCAGCTTGACGAGGTGTCTTCTTCACAGCCGCTGTCTTTTCAACACTCCCTCTCGACTCGTTAGCTGCGGCACCTTGGATCCCAAGTCGATCGCGAATGTTTTCAAATTGTACAGCGGCGATCGGCTTGGTCATCATGTCTGCCAGCATATCTTGAGTCGGGCAATACTCCAAAACGACTTCACCTGATTCCACCTTCTCACGCACAAAATGGTAGCGTATGTCGATGTGTTTTGTTCTCTTATGGAACTCCGGGTTCTTGGCGAGAGCGATTGATCCTTGGTTGTCTTCATACATCTTGATCGCTTCGTCGCTTGTCATCTCACCAAGTTCCCCCAAAAGCACTTTGAGCCATACTGCTTCTTTGGTTGCTTCGGAAAGCGCCATGTATTCTGCTTCTGTTGAAGATAGCGCGACCGTCCGTTGTTTCTGGCTTTTCCAGCTGATGCATCCTCCGCTCATCATGAACACATAGCCGCTTGTACTTCGTCTTGACTCAATGTCGCCGGCCCAGTCTGCGTCGGTGTACCCGTAGATACGGCTTCCTTCTTCACGTGTAAACTCAAGACCATGATTGGGCGTTGCTTGCAGGTATCTCAGCACACGCTTCAAAGCTTGCCAGTGAGTCGGGCATGGGTCGGACGAGAACTGGGATAATGATCCCACTGCAGCAGCTAGATCCGGACGTGTGGCGACCATGAGATACATGATGCCTCCGACAGCACTTTGATATGGCACGTTGCACATGGTGTCTTCGTGCTTGCATTCTTGTTCACACATGTTCTTGGTTAGCTTCAGGCCGGGATCTTGAGGCGTCTTCACTGGCTTGCTGTTATCCATTCCGAACTTGGTTAACACGGACTTGAGGAACTTGGTTTGTTGTACAGTCACCATTCCCGTCTTACGGTCGTTCTTGATCTCCATGCCGAGAAAGTAATCGAGCTCACCGAGATCCGTCATTTCGAAGCGTTTGCTCAGCGCCATCTTGGTTGACTTGAGGAGTTCGTTGTTGCTGCTGGCCAGGATGAGATCATCGACGTAGAGTACCACGAGAATCATGTCTTGGTCGTCTCGCTTGATGTAGATGCAGTGGTCCGATTCGCACTTCTTGAATCCCATCTTGATCATGAACCCATCGATTGTTTGGTTCCACATGCGAGGCGATTGCTTCAAGCCGTAGAGTGATCTCTTTAGCTTGCACACATAGTCCGGCTGTGTTGCATCCAGGTATCCGTCCGGCTGGTCCATGTAGATGTCTTCGTTGAGGGAGCCGTTAAGAAACGATGTCTTGACGTCCATCTGATGTAGCATTAGGCCGTACTTAGCCGCCATACTGAGCACCACACGAATCGATGTGAACTTGGCCACCGGTGCGAAAGTTTCTTCATAGTCAACTCCGAATTTCTGTGAGAATCCTTTGGCCACAAGTCTTGCCTTGAAACGTTCAACTTCGCCATCTTGATTCTCCTTTACACGAAAAACCCATCGGCACCCGATGGCCTTGCGACCTTTCGGAAGAGGCACGATTTCCCACGTGTCGTTTCTCTGAAGCGAATCGAACTCCGAGTCACGCGCTTCTTTCCACTTGCCGGAGTCGCTTGATTCCATCGCCGACTTGAATGTAGTCGGCGTTTCCCCCACTGAATCAACGATGTAGGCTGCTTCAAAATCCATTGCAGCCGCTGACACATGCTCAAGCGACGGACCTCTGTACGTTCTTCGCTTGGGACTTGGAATGACGGTAGCTTTCTCAAGTGATTGAGTGCGCGTGTGTCTCTTGATGTTGCTCTTCGAAGACCTGGTGTCTTCGTTGTCATCGTCGCTCGAATCCATGTCGTCGTCAGTTTTACCTTCTTCTTTTTCTTCGTCCTCATCATGATCATCAAACTCAACGACACTTGACTCATCGTTGTAGTTGCGCGGACCTTCATCAAACTTGTCTTCCATGAATGTGGCATCGCGACTGATCTTGATCGCTCCTGTTGACACTTCCTCAAACCGATATGACTTCTGGTGTTCGGCGTATCCCAGGAAACGACAGAGTGATGACTTGGAGTCGAACTTCGCGCGTTTGTCTTGAGGCACTTGAACATACGCGTGGCATCCAAACACTTTAAGGTTGGCCAGAATCGGTTTCTTCATCGTCCACACTTGATATGGAGACTTGTCTTGGTGAATGGCACGTGTTGGACAGCGGTTTCGAAGAAACATCGCCGTCATCACTGCTTCACCCCAGTAGCTCTTTCCCAGTCCAGCGTGTTCCATCATGCAACGCGCACACTCGACCAGCGTGCGATTCATTCTCTCAGCTACTCCGTTTAGCTGAGGAGTATATGGGGGTGTGAACTGATGAACTTTAGACTTCTTGGTCCGAGTGCAAAACGCAAAGTGAATATATATTTATAATAGGTACTTAGTTCGCAACTTTGAATACTACCTCTAAGCCTATTATTCGCAGTGACGTCATCCAGTGACGTCACCCACTGACGTCACCCACTGACGTCATGCAATGACGTCATCCAGTGACGTCATTTCCTGACTTCGCCCTTACTGGTACATACCGGTACCCACCGGTATAGCGAAGCTTGGTCTTCCACTTGCTTCAACACTTGACGCAGCTTGACGAGGTGTCTTCTTCACAGCCGCTGTCTTTTCAACACTCCCTCTCGACTCGTTAGCTGCGGCACCTTGGATTCCAAGTCGATCGCGAATGTTTTCAAATTGTACAGCGGCGATCGGCTTGGTCATCATGTCTGCCAGCATATCTTGAGTCGGGCAATACTCCAAAACGACTTCACCTGATTCCACCTTCTCACGCACAAAATGGTAGCGTATGTCGATGTGTTTTGTTCTCTTATGGAACTCCGGGTTCTTGGCGAGAGCGATTGATCCTTGGTTGTCTTCATACATCTTGATCGCTTCGTCGCTTGTCATCTCACCAAGTTCCCCCAAAAGCACTTTGAGCCATACTGCTTCTTTGGTTGCTTCGGAAAGCGCCATGTATTCTGCTTCTGTTGAAGATAGCGCGACCGTCCGTTGTTTCTGGCTTTTCCAGCTGATGCATCCTCCGCTCATCATGAACACATAGCCGCTTGTACTTCGTCTTGACTCAACGTCGCCGGCCCAGTCTGCGTCGGTGTACCCGCAGATACGGCTTCCTTCTTCACGTGTAAACTCAAGACCATGATTGGGCGTTGCTTGCAGGTATCTCAGCACACGCTTCAAAGCTTGCCAGTGAGTCGGGCATGGGTCGGACGAGAACTGGGATAATGATCCCACTGCAGCAGCTAGATCCGGACGTGTGGCGACCATGAGATACATGATGCCTCCGACAGCACTTCGATATGGCACGTTGCACATGGTGTCTTCGTGCTTGCATTCTTGTTCACACATGTTCTTGGTTAGCTTCAGGCCGGGATCTTGAGGCGTCTTCACTGGCTTGCTGTTATCCATTCCGAACTTGGTTAACACGGACTTGAGAAACTTGGTTTGTTGTACAGTCACCATTCCCGTCTTACGGTCGTTCTTGATCTCCATGCCGAGAAAGTAATCGAGCTCACCGAGATCCGTCATTTCGAAGCGTTTGCTCAGCGCCATCTTGGTTGACTTGAGGAGTTCGTTGTTGCTGCTGGCCAGGATGAGATCATCGACGTAGAGCACCACGAGAATCATGTCTTGGTCGTCTCGCTTGATGTAGATGCAGTGGTCCGATTCGCACTTCTTGAATCCCATCTTGATCATGAACCCATCGATTGTTTGGTTCCACATGCGAGGCGATTGCTTCAAGCCGTAGAGTGATCTCTTTAGCTTGCACACATAGTCCGGCTGTGTTGCATCCAGGTATCCGTCCGGCTGGTCCATGTAGATGTCTTCGTTGAGGGAGCCGTTAAGAAACGCTGTCTTTGTTGAAAAGACAGCGGCTGTGAAGAAGACACCTCGTCAAGCTGCGTCAAGTGTTGAAGCAAGTGGAAGACCAAGCTTCGCTATACCGGTGGGTACCGGTATGTACCAGTAAGGGCGAAGTCAGGAAATGACGTCACTGGATGACGTCATTGCATGACGTCAGTGGGTGACGTCAGTGGGTGACGTCACTGGATGACGTCACTGCGAATAATAGGCTTAGAGGTAGTATTCAAAGTTGCGAACTAAGTACCTATTATAAATATATATTCACTTTGCGTTTTGCACTCGGACCAAGAAGTCTAAAGTTCATCAGGTTATGAGCCCAAGTTCGTCAGACTCTGAAACCGCCAACAATTCAAGCTTAGCTGCCATGGACGCCTCCTCCCTCCGCATCTCCAAGTTCGATGGAACTAACTTCCACGCCTGGAAGTTCAAGATGCAGATGGTGCTGGAGGAACGGGACCTATGGGAGGTCGTCAGCGGTGAGATCAAGGCGGAACAGTGCGAGACTCAGTTGGACCAAGCGACGTACAAGAGGAAGTCAAGAAAGGCGATGGCAGTGATCTGTCTAGCCATGGAAGATTCCCAGCTACCGTTGGTCCGGTCGGCAAGTGGTGCATGCGACGCATGGTCAAGGTTGGAAGACCACTTCGAGAAGAAGAGTCTTGCCAACAAGCTGTTCTTGCGCCGTCGCTTCTTCACGACAATGATGGAAGAAGGCGACGATGTGCTCGAACACATCAACAAGCTCAAGACGCTGGCGGAACAGCTAGAAGCGGCGGGGGCTCCAGTCTGCGAGGACGATCTGGTGATCACACTCCTCGGCAGCCTGAGTGACTCGTATCAATTCTTGATCACAGCTTTGGAGTCGCGCTCAGACACTCTTAGCTGGGAGCTCGTGACGTCTCGACTGCTTCATGAAGAAATGAAGCGGAAGGAGCAAGGAAGTAAAGGTGATGAAGCTTCGCAAGGTCAAGCGTTCATCACAAGGGACAATCAGCGCAAAGGGCGACCAGTGAAGAAGTCCTGGCCGTGCCACAATTGCGGAAAGATTGGTCATTGGATGGCGGAGTGCCCCTCGCGCATCCAAGAAAACACGGAGAGACACCGGCCACAGCGTGCTCAAGACAGCGGCGACCGCTATCGATCACAACGTGCAAACGTCGCTCAAGAAGAAGACTCGGGCGACTACCTCTTTTCGATCGGTGAAACGACATCTGCGAAATCGAGCGACATCTGGACTGGTCGACTCCGGGGCGACGCAGCACATGACGTGCTCCAAGAAGTTCATGCGGAACTACAAGGGGTTTGACGCTGTGGATGTCCATCTCGCGGATGATGGAATCGTCCAAGCAATCGGCAGTGGGGACATTGTCATGTCGATGAAGACACCCCAAGGGATGAAGAAAGGTGTGCTCACAAACGTATGGCACATCCCAAAGTTATCCAGAAACCTGTTCTCGGTCGGCCGCTTCACCAAGGATGTCGGCCCAGTGACGTTCACGAAGGATGGGTGCTATGGAGAAGCGAAAGGGACCAAGTGGAAAATTGGTGCCCGTGAAGGTAAAGGACTGTTCAAGCTGCAAATGACTCCAGTGGCGCCGGAACAAGCAAATGCAGCCAAGTCGTCGGGATGTCAAGGGGGCACCAAGTCGTACCTCTGGCACCTTCGGCTTGGCCACATAGGTCACGATGGACTCAATTGCATCGTGACGAAGAACATTGGAATTGGCATCGACATATCTTCGGTGAAGAAGTGGGACGTGTGTGAAGGTTGTGCTCTGGGAAAACAGACTCGAGTGCGCTTCCAATCAAACACTACAGCTCGCACCTCCAAACTCCTCGAAGTGATTCACAGCGACGTATGCGGACCGATGTCGATGGCAACTTTCAGTGGAAAACGGTACTTCGTGACATTCATTGATGACAAGTCAAGATACTGTGTCGTCTATCTGCTCAAGAGCAAATCTGAAGTTGCGGCGAAGTTCATGGAATACGCTGCGATGGCCGAAACGCAAACCGGAAAGCGCGTGAAGTACCTTCAAAGCGACAATGGGGGTGAATACAAGTCCGACAAGCTGGCACGATTCTGCGCGGAACGGGGAATACAACAAAGGTTCACACCCCCATATACTCCTCAGCTAAACGGAGTAGCTGAGAGAATGAATCGCACGCTGGTCGAGTGTGCGCGTTGCATGATGGAACACGCTGGACTGGGAAAGAGCTACTGGGGTGAAGCAGTGATGACGGCGATGTTTCTTCGAAACCGCTGTCCAACACGTGCCATTCACCAAGACAAGTCTCCATATCAAGTGTGGACGATGAAGAAACCGATTCTGGCCAACCTTAAAGTGTTTGGATGCCACGCGTATGTTCAAGTGCCTCAAGACAAACGCGCGAAGTTCGACTCCAAGTCATCACTCTGTCGTTTCCTGGGATACGCCGAACACCAGAAGTCATATCGATTTGAGGAAGTGTCAACAGGAGCGATCAAGATCAGTCGCGATGCCACATTCATGGAAGACAAGTTTGATGAAGGTCCGCGCAACTACAACGATGAGTCAAGTGTCGTTGAGTTTGATGATCATGATGAGGACGAAGAAAAAGAAGAAGGTAAAACTGACGACGACATGGACTCGAGCGACGATGACAACGAAGACACCAGGTCTTCGAAGAGCAACATCAAGAGACACACGCGCACTCAATCACTTGAGAAAGCTACCGTCATTCCAAGTCCCAAGCGAAGAACATACAGAGGTCCGTCGCTTGAGCATGTGTCAGCGGCTGCAATGGATTTTGAAGCAGCCTACATCGTTGATTCAGTGGGGGAAACGCCGACTACATTCAAGTCGGCGATGGAATCAAGCGACTCCGGCAAGTGGAAAGAAGCGTGTGACTCGGAGTTCGATTCGCTTCAGAGAAACGACACGTGGGAAATCGTGCCTCTTCCGAAAGGTCGCAAGGCCATCGGGTGCCGATGGGTTTTTCGTGTAAAGGAGAATCAAGATGGCGAAGTTGAACGTTTCAAGGCAAGACTTGTGGCCAAAGGATTCTCACAGAAATTCGGAGTTGACTATGAAGAAACTTTCGCACCGGTGGCCAAGTTCACATCGATTCGTGTGGTGCTCAGTATGGCGGCTAAGTACGGCCTAATGCTACATCAGATGGACGTCAAGACAGCGTTTCTTAACGGCTCCCTCAACGAAGACATCTACATGGACCAGCCGGACGGATACCTGGATGCAACACAGCCGGACTATGTGTGCAAGCTAAAGAGATCACTCTACGGCTTGAAGCAATCGCCTCGCATGTGGAACCAAACAATCGATGGGTTCATGATCAAGATGGGATTCAAGAAGTGCGAATCGGACCACTGCATCTACATCAAGCGAGACGACCAAGACATGATTCTCGTGGTGCTCTACGTCGATGATCTCATCCTGGCCAGCAGCAACAACGAACTCCTCAAGTCAACCAAGATGGCGCTGAGCAAACGCTTCGAAATGACGGATCTCGGTGAGCTCGATTACTTTCTCGGCATGGAGATCAAGAACGACCGTAAGACGGGAATGGTGACTGTACAACAAACCAAGTTTCTCAAGTCCGTGTTAACAAAGTTCGGAATGGATAACAGCAAGCCAGTGAAGACGCCTCAAGATCCCGGCCTGAAGCTAACCAAGAACATGTGTGAACAAGAATGCAAGCACGAAGACACCATGTGCAACGTGCCATATCGAAGTGCTGTCGGAGGCATCATGTATCTCATGGTCGCCACACGTCCGGATCTAGCTGCTGCAGTGGGATCATTATCCCAGTTCTCGTCCGACCCATGCCCGACTCACTGGCAAGCTTTGAAGCGTGTGCTGAGATACCTGCAAGCAACGCCCAATCATGGTCTTGAGTTTACACGTGAAGAAGGAAGCCGTATATGCGGGTACACCGACGCAGACTGGGCCGGCGACATTGAGTCAAGACGAAGTACAAGCGGCTATGTGTTCATGATGAGCGGAGGATGCATCAGCTGGAAAAGCCAGAAACAACGGACGGTCGCGCTATCTTCAACAGAAGCAGAATACATGGCGCTTTCCGAAGCAACCAAAGAAGCAGTATGGCTCAAAGTGCTTTTGGGGGAACTTGGTGAGATGACAAGCGACGAAGCGATCAAGATGTATGAAGACAACCAAGGATCAATCGCTCTCGCCAAGAACCCGGAGTTCCATAAGAGAACAAAACACATCGACATACGCTACCATTTTGTGCGTGAGAAGGTGGAATCAGGTGAAGTCGTTTTGGAGTATTGCCCGACTCAAGATATGCTGGCAGACATGATGACCAAGCCGATCGCCGCTGTACAATTTGAAAACATTCGCGATCGACTTGGGATCCAAGGTGCCGCAGCTAACGAGTCGAGAGGGAGTGTTGAAAAGACAGCGGCTGTGAAGAAGACACCTCGTCAAGCTGCGTCAAGTGTTGAAGCAAGTGGAAGACCAAGCTTCGCTATACCGGTGGGTACCGGTATGTACTAGTAAGGGCGAAGTCAGGAAATGACGTCACTGGATGACGTCATTGCATGACGTCAGTGGGTGACGTCAGTGGGTGACGTCACTGGATGACGTCACTGCGAATAATAGGCTTAGAGGTAGTATTCAAAGTTGCGAACTAAGTACCTATTATAAATATATATTCACTTTTGCGTTTTGCACTCGGACCAAGAAGTCTAAAGTTCATCAGTCTTGACGTCCATCTGATGTAGCATTAGGCCGTACTTAGCCGCCATACTGAGCACCACACGAATCGATGTGAACTTGGCCACCGGTGCGAAAGTTTCTTCATAGTCAACTCCGAATTTCTGTGAGAATCCTTTGGCCACAAGTCTTGCCTTGAAACGTTCAACTTCGCCATCTTGATTCTCCTTTACACGAAAAACCCATCGGCACCCGATGGCCTTGCGACCTTTCGGAAGAGGCACGATTTCCCACGTGTCGTTTCTCTGAAGCGAATCGAACTCCGAGTCACACGCTTCTTTCCACTTGCCGGAGTCGCTTGATTCCATCGCCGACTTGAATGTAGTCGGCGTTTCCCCACTGAATCAACGATGTAGGCTGCTTCAAAATCCATTGCAGCCGCTGACACATGCTCAAGCGACGGACCTCTGTATGTTCTTCGCTTGGGACTTGAATGACGGTAGCTTTCTCAAGTGATTGAGTGCGCGTGTGTCTCTTGATGTTGCTCTTCGAAGACCTGGTGTCTTCGTTGTCATCGTCGCTCGAGTCCATGTCGTCGTCAGTTTTACCTTCTTCTTTTTCTTCGTCCTCATCATGATCATCAAACTCAACGACACTTGACTCATCGTTGTAGTTGCGCGGACCTTCATCAAACTTGTCTTCCATGAATGTGGCATCGCGACTGATCTTGATCGCTCCTGTTGACACTTCCTCAAACCGATATGACTTCTGGTGTTCGGCGTATCCCAGGAAACGACAGAGTGATGACTTGGAGTCGAACTTCGCGCGTTTGTCTTGAGGCACTTGAACATACGCGTGGCATCCAAACACTTTAAGGTTGGCCAGAATCGGTTTCTTCATCGTCCACACTTGATATGGAGACTTGTCTTGGTGAATGGCACGTGTTGGACAGCGGTTTTGAAGAAACATCGCCGTCATCACTGCTTCACCCCAGTAGCTCTTTCCCAGTCCAGCGTGTTCCATCATGCAACGCGCACACTCGACCAGCGTGCGATTCATTCTCTCAGCTACTCCGTTTAGCTGAGGAGTATATGGGGGTGTGAACCTTTGTTGTATTCCCTGTTCCGCGCAGAATCGTGCCAGCTTGTCGGACTTGTATTCACCCCCATTGTCGCTTTGAAGGTACTTCACGCGCTTTCCGGTTTGCGTTTCGGCCATCGCAGCGTATTCCATGAACTTCTGCCGCAACTTCAGATTTGCTCTTTGAGCAGATAGACGACACAGTATCTTGACTTGTCATCGATGAATGTCACGAAGTACCGTTTTCCACTGAAAGTTGCCATCGACATCGGTCCGCATACATGTCGCTGTGAATCACTCGAGGAGTTTGGAGGTGCGAGCTGACTGTGTGTTTGATTGGAAGCGCACTCGAGTCTGTTTTCCCAGAGCACAACCTTCACACACGTCCCACTTCTTCACCGAAGATATGTCGATGCCAATCTCCAATGTTCTTCGTCACGATGCAATTGGAGTCCATCATGACCTATGTAGCCAAGCCGAAGGTGCCAGAGGTACGACTTGGTGCCCCCTTGACATCCCGACGACTTGGCTGCATTTGCTTGTTCCGGCGCCACTGGAGTCATTTGCAGCTTGAACAGTTTCACCTTCACGGGCACCAATTCTTCCACTTGGTCCCTTTCGCTTCTCCATAGCACCCATCCTTCGTGAACGTCACCGGGCCGACATCCTTGGTGAAGCGGCCGACCGAGAACAGGTTTCTGGATAACTTGGGATGTGCCACACGTTTGTGAGCACACCTTTCTTCATCCCTTGGGGTGTCTTCATCGACATGACAATGTCCCCACTGCCGATTGCTTGGACGATTCCATCATCCGCGAGATGGACATCCACAGCGTCAAACCCCTTGTAGTTCCGCATGAACTTCTTGGAGCGCGTCATGTGCTGCGTCGCCCCGGAGTCGACCAGCCAGATGTCGCTCGATTTCGCAGATGTCGTTTCACCGATCGAAAAGAGGTAGTCGCCCGAGTCTTCTTCTTGAGCGACGTTTGCACGTTGTGATCGATAGCGGTCGCCGCTGTCTTGAGCACGCTGTGGCCGGTGTCTCTCCGTGTTTTCTTCGATGCGCGAGGGACACCCGCCATCCAGTGACCAATCTTTCCGCAATTGTGGCACGGCCAGGACTTCTTCACTGGTCGCCCTTTGCGCTGATTGTCCCCTGTGATGAACGCTTGACCTTGCGAAGCTTCATCACCTTTACTTCCTTGCTCCTTCCGCTT